GGTCTTTAATCGCTCCGGGGGGGGGGTCATCAGAGCAATCCCTAATAAGACCCAGCATCCTCTGGTACCCCAGCACCATTATGTACAGTCACATCCTCTCCTATCCTCCTGGGTACCACTGTTATGACTAGAATATGGACCTGAGGACCCGATCACATCTGCTCAGCAATGCATAAGAGGATCGTCGTTCTTTTCTATGGGGGCTGTTCACACCTGTGCGTCGCCGTGCATTGGGGAAATTTTTTTGCCTCGTCAACGCAGTTTTGCCCTCCATAGACTTTAATGAAGGCTAGCAGAAAACGCATTTTTGTGCATTTTACAGCATGACAGCAAGCTTCCAGCCCCCCCCTTATTGGACTTTAATTGGCCAAACAAGAAACCGCAGAACGCACAACAAAAGGCAGGAAAATGCAGAGGAGGTGAAGGTGTAAACATGGCCTGAGGGCATCCCCTGCCAGGTGCTACTGCACCACAGGTCACCAATGCACCTCAGATACCCAACCACTGACTGGTCAGGGCACCTGCCTTGCATGGGATGCCTATTAGTGCTCCATCACATGACCCTGGCTCTGTGGCCCCATAAGCAGCCCACACCCCAGGGGTCCTCTCTGCTTACCCCTAGCGGCCAAAGCCCCGCACAGCAGGCCGGTGATGAGCAGTAGGCAGGCCGGGGAGCACCGCCACATCCCGGGCATCTTGTCCACCCTGCTGTGATAAGCCGGTCCCAGTCTTCCTCCTTCAGTAATGCGGAGGTCAGTCCCGAGCTCCTCGCCTTTACGTCCCCCTCTCCGCTTCTCCGGTGCCGAGCTAAGATGGCGGCTTGTTCTGCTGAGAGAACGTCTCTGTGTCTGCGGGCACCGCGGTTACCAGCCCCGCCCCTTTCCGCCGCTACACCAAACCCTGCAACGTTTGCGTTCCAGCCACCCTCCGACCACGCCTTCTCCCTTCCTCTCTGCGCAAAATGATTGGCCGCCTGTGGAACGCAGTCTCCTATCCCGCCCACTGTGGGCTGAGGTGTGGCAGGAGCGGTCCCGCCCACCCGCCTGAGGGGATGAGCTGAGGCATCTACAGCTGTGGGCGGGAGACATTCCCTGCATCCTCCTCAGTGATGCTCTGCAACATGGGCACACCCTGCCTGTGTGAGCGCTGCACCATCACAGCCGGCAGATACCTCACCCGTATCATCATTATTATTATATCACAGCCGGCAAATACCTCACCCGTATCATCATCATTATAATTGTATCACAGACACATCACCCGTATCATTGTCATTACTAATGTATCCGCTCAGCAGGCTGCCATGTGCAATCTCCCGGAGATGTGTGGTGTCCCAGCACCTTATATAATGCCGGCCAGGGGCCACCAGTGCTATGTGCCTTAGATGGAAACATGGTGAAATCATTAACAGGGACGCTTTCCCAATGAGCAGTGTGCTTATGGGCATTACCCAACACTGCCCATGTCCATCATTCTCCATCACTGCCCATGTCCATCATCCTTCACCACTGCCCATGTCCATCATCCCCTCACCAATGGCCACGTCCATGATCCCCTCACCATTACCCATGTCCATCATCCTCCACCACTGCCCACAGGCTTCAGTCCCCACCACTGGCCATGTCCATCATCCACCACTGCCCACTTCAATCATCCCTCACCACTGTCATTACCCACCACTGCCCATGTCCATCATCCCCTCACCATTGGGCATGTTCATCATCCACCACTTCCCACAGCCGTCATCCCCCACCACTGCCCCTTATGTAATAAAGACTGCTCACTGCTGCTCTTTCTCCTTGTGCAAGGTGGCTGGTCTTGTCTCCGCCCCCTCCTGTCGTTTTTTTACAGGCAGCCTGAAGTGGGTTTGGTCTGCTGGACCCCTCCTAAAACTCTGCTCTCAGCACAGAGTATGTACAGCACAGTGATCAGGTCAGTGCTGTTTCTGGGTTTGTAAAGGCATTTGCTGCACACAAAGAGGATTTATATCCTTTGTGGCTAATGAAGAATATATTTCAATGTGCCCTTTGTTCAGCTTAGGGGCCCAACCACCCGCATTGGTTTTCCATATGCAAGTTAAGGGAACCTGTCATACATGTGACAGCAGGGGTAGGCAACCTTGGCACTCCAGCTGTATTGAATCTTTAAATCCCATCATCCCTCTGCCTCTGGGACTCATGCCTGTGGCTGTCAGAGTCTTGCAATGCCTCATTGGACTCGTTGTTCCACGACAGCTGGAGTGCCGAGGTTGCCTACCCCTCTGTCATTCACATGTACCATTCACGTGTACAACAAAAGTCTTAAAAAATCGGATCCCTGGGATTAAACCTGCGTTTGATTGGGCGACTCCATCTATGCATGCATGGCTTCTTTAACTAGACTGCACTGTTGTGGTCTAAGTTACATATATCTTTATAGAGAGAGAAATGTGTAACAACTGTGCAGTCTAGCTAAAATTGTATTCTAAGAATACTGTTGTAACCAATCCCGTATTATTCTATTAATAAATAATGGCCAGACTGAGATAATATTGTCTCACATTTTATGCCATCGAGCTATTATAAGGTACGTGGAAGGCAAATGGATTCCGGCTTTGCTCTGCTTTCTGGCACTTAACGCATTGTGCTTTCCACATTCATTAATAACGCATTTCATGCAGAAGGAAAAGCAAAGAGAGTAAAAACAACTAATACACAATAAACGGATACAATCTGTGTACAAAAACAAACTTTTGTGTAAAGTATCCATTTCTAATACTTGAAGGTCTTTTTGTTTACATTTTATAATTTAAAGGAGAACTATGGGGTTAAGGCTTTTCCCGATAGTTCTCCTCAGGGTAATGGGAGGACACAAACTAGCGTCCTCCCGTCACCCTAGGCTCAGTATACTGAGACGCCGCAGCTGAAGCGGATCCCGACAATTATGTCTGGATCCGCCCAGCTGCGTCACTGACAGCTGGGCGGATCTATATATATATCTATGTAGATAGATATATATATCTCTCGTCTTGACTATTGTAACTCCCTCCTCATTGGCCTTCCACTACACAGGCTATCCCCCCTTCAGTCTATCATGAATGCAGCTGCTAGACTCATCCACTTGACCAACCGCTCAGTGTCTGCATCCCCCCTCTGCCAATCCCTGCACTGGCTTCCATCCCCCACCCCCCTCTGCCAATCCCTGCACTGGCTTCCACTCGCCCAGAGGATAAAATTCAAAATATTAACAGTCACTTATAAAGCCATCCACAACTTCCGCCCCCGGCTATATCTCAAACCTTGTCTCAAAATATCACCCTAACCGTCCACTCCGCTCTTCCCTAGACCTCCTGCTTTCCAGCTCCCTAGTCAACTCCTCCCATACTCGCCTCCAGGACTTCTCTAGAGTCTCTCCCATCCTCTCGAACTCTTTACCCCAACCTGTCCGTCTATCTCCCACCTTGACTGCCATAAGACGATCCCTAAATACTCATCTCTTCAGGGAAGCCTATCCCACCTCAACCTAACCGCTCAACCATCACATTCTCAAACAATTCATACCCACACAGCTACCTCCTCATGTATCATTTCCCTCTCCTCTTTTAGATTGTAAGCCCTCAGGGGCAGGGCCCTCCTTACCATCTTGTCTTGAATTGTAATGTCTTCCTTACATTGTAAAGCGATGCGCAAACTGTTGGTGCTATATAAATACTATGTAATAATAATAATATATATATATATAGTTACATAGTATTTGAGGTTGAATAAAGACACAGGTCCATCAAGTTCAACCCATTGCGTGTATGTATGTGATTCTGCATGTGTATGTGTGTGTATGAGTCCCTGTGCGATCTTGTTTTCAAGAGTACCTGTACCCCTGTATGTCACGGTCTCTGAGGAAGATATCTAATTAATTTTTGAATGATTCAACACTCTCAGCTGATAACACTGCTTGCCGCTGCGAGTTCCAGACCCTCACCGCTCTAACTGAGAAGAACCCCCTACGCCCCTTGTGGTTAAATCTTTTCTCCACCAGTTTTAGGTGGTGGCCTCTAGTCCTTGTTATGGAGTTTACAGTAAAACGTTTGTTGCTGATGTTGCCATCACCATTGAACATCTTGTACAAGAAAATCATGTCCCCTCTTAATCTCCTCCCTACTTCCAGCGTGAACATGTTTAAATTTAGTAACCTTGTCTCATAGCTTTGATCCTCCATCCCCTTAATTAGTTTAGTTGCCCTTCTCTGGACTCTTTCCAAATATATAAACAAATTAGGTATAGAGTAGACATGTAACACGGCAAAAAATTTGATTTGGTTCGTTATTCGGATTTTGTATCCGTTCAAATATTCATTTCAGAAAGATCCACAACAGGAAGTCACATGACCAGGCTTGTAATGCAGCCCCCAACAAGCCCCCTGATTGGCCAGAAAACAGGCCAATCACCGATTTAGTGGCACACTGCATGCGGAGCCGTGCAGAGTGAAGCAAAGCTGTCACGCATGGAGCTTCGCATGCAGTATGTGAGCTGAGTGCAGCCAGATGAATGACTGCATGTTCAACCAATCCGTATGCAGTATGCATCGTGACGCGCGGGTTCATACGCGTGAGCCGATTGGCTGAAGATGACATTTTTCATCTTGGCACGCTCAGCTATGCGATCTCTCGCAAGCTGTTGTGCCAGAGAGAAAATTTCATGACACACTCCACGCGAAGGCAGCGCGCCACCGTTCTGCTTCGCGTGCAGTGTGTCACAGCCTTCAGAATATCTAGATATTTCCAACCGGCTCCTTCAATCAGCTGATCAAGGGGTTCCGGGCGGAAGGATGCCACCAGCGGCACCTACTGTGCAAATTTCAGCCGGTTCATCAGAAACTGTCCGAAATTCTACACGATTATCCCCAGCTTTACTCATGTATAAGCAATTTAACACGCGTGTATGCTAGTGGCTAAATAAATTGATATTCTAACCATGGGGTAGGCAAACACCAGACACCAGTGGTGCTGAAACTACAAAGGCCATCATGCTTCTGGGAGTATTTTAATACGCCCGTGTTCATGAGCCCTATACTGGAATGCTCTGTCTTGTAAAGATTGATAATGCCTTATGTTTTCCTATAATGTTAAAGGAGAACTATGAGGCGAGTGCTTTTCACTCACCTCATAGTTCTAGCCGACCTGTGACAATGAGACTGTCACAGGTCGGCTCAGTAGATCGGGAGGTGAGCGAACACATACCGGCGTTCGCTCACCTCTCGATCCTGTCACGGCTCTCTGCCGTGACAGGGGAGGGGCTGGATTCCCCCCTCCCCGCTCCGATCCTCCAGCGCTGACTGGCGGAACGGACGGGGGAGGGGGCGGGTACAGCTGGCTCTGCCTCTAGATAGGCAGAGCCAACTGTCACTCACGCATCTGGGCGGATCCAGACATAATTGTCGGGGATCCGCTTCAGCTGCGGCGTCTCAGTATACCGCGAGCTATGGCTTGCGGTATACTGAGCTTAGGGTGACGGGAGGACGCTATTTGGTGTCCTCCCGTTACCCTACGGAGAACTATGGGGAAAAGCCCTGACCCCATAGTTCTCCTTTAAACTGTGCTCAGAAGATACATTTGTATCCACCTGTAATGATGGTCCTTGAAGTATCTCCTGTGTGATCAGGTCACAGCGCTGTAAAGCAAACCAACGCAATGTAAACATCGCTGTTGTTGTTGGCGGAAAACTCGAGAATTTAATGACTTCTGTTTGAAATCTATCATTGTTCAGGAAAAGGGGGAACGAGTTCAGGAGCTCTCAACACTTTGCTGTTCTTGAGCACCGCGGGTAGCTATTCAGAATGAGTGAAGTGAGTATAAATTACAGTGCGAGGTGGTGAAATATGTTACTTTACCAAGTTAGGGGCCTGCTGCAAGTCCAATGGCTGC